GCAGTTCTTAATAGAAAAAACTAGAACCTCCCCAAAAACTGAGCTTGTCTCAGTACACACTAAAAAAAAAAAAAAAAAAAAAAAGATTACAGGCGTTAGCCACTGCACCCGGCCTGCAAGCAGTTCTTAATAGAAAAAACTAGAACCTCCCCAAAAACTGAGCTTGTCTCAGTACACACTAATAATTTTTGTTATTGTGTGAAAGTTCTTAACTTCAGGTCCATGACTCTTCGTGAAATTTCAGTTTAAGTACATGTGAGCATTTTTCAGGAAGAGTGTACAAAGATTTTTACCAAATTCTAATGCAAACAAAAAAAGTTACAGGGACAGGAAAAAGATCAAGGGAAACATTTACTGTACTAGATAAATAATTGTATAATAGTAGTTTTCAAATTTTTTAAGATACAGATTGCTTTGGGAAAGCAAAAGATGCCTATCCTTTTCTGTTTACCACAACAAATAAAACAGCAACTCTGCTGAGATATGAAAAATGACACTATTTGTTAATGAAAACTCAAAAAGAATAAAAATTCATATCCAAAACAAGGGACCAGGGTTCTACAAGGGACTAAACCTCATGAACAATCTGGAGTACTCTCATGGACTAGTCTAAAAAACCAGATGTGGAAAGATTCCATTGTGGGATGGCTCACAGTAAGACCAGATACAATAAAAAGCACAAACCCATTAAAATAGTTAAAAAACCCACTACCACCACCACTAAGAGTGAAAGGGAGGGCATACAAGTTGAAATCAGAGAAAGAACTGTTTAGAATGACAGAAACCCTAAGCTAAAGGAAGCTATTGAAATTGAGCCTAAAACTCAGCGATCAGCTTCTTAGAAAAAAAAAAAATTAAATTCCTTAAGTCATAAAACCAAAAAGAATAGACTCAAACCTGGACAGCTTCTTGATGTAAAAAGGAGCCAGTTCTTATGTAGTTACCCCTTGACTGTTCAACTTCATAAAAAGGGTAGAGGATTAAGAACAGTGGGTAAATTTGAAATCTACTTGTATTTAATTTTAAAATGCACTTCCAAATGAATGAAACCAATGGGCAATTTACAACACTCTAAATAATGGAATTTAAATGGTGGAGATCTGACTCAGAAGAAACTGGCACTTTCAGTGGACGGGCTCACTCCAGTTAACACTAGCACTTTGAGAGGCCAAAGTACAAGGATTGCTTGAGGCCAGGAGTTCGAGATCAGCCTGAGCAACATAGTGAGACCTCATCTCTACAAAAAATAGAAAAATTTTGCGTGTGGTGGCCCACGCCTGTAGTACTAGCTACTTGGCGGGAGCATCACTTGAGCCCAGGAGTTTGAGGTTACAGTGAGCTATGATGATGACACTGCACTCTAGCCTGGGCAACAAAATGAGACTCTGTCTAAAATAAAATAAAAAACTGGCATTTTCATGTGAATGAGGCCAATGTGAGATTTACAACATTCCCAATAATGAAATTAAACCATGGAGATCTCA